GGGGGAGAATGCAGCAGTCTGAAAACCCCCAAAACATTATATATATTATTTTTGAAAGCAAAGACCCTGTAGAATAAAATGATCGCCATTGCACATGTTTACGCACGATATTAACTTTTTATCAAACCGAAAAATTTAGTAAAAAACGCACTTGCGTTTATTTTAGTGCCCACAAACACAATATAATACCCATTTTTTTAAATATAAAAGATAAGGTTACAACAAGTAGACATCCAACATGCCCACGTAAAAAGTTGCGTGCATCCATGAAACGGCGACAAAATATGGTACCCTACATTGTCCATAGACGCTTTAAAAGCCATTAGTCAGCTTTACAAATGTATACAGAGTTTTGGCAGCAAGTCTGTTTAAATGGTTGTACCTTTAACCTTTTGTTGTAACGGGTTGCTCTAGGCTTCTTGTCTCATCTCCTGCATGGGTCTACTGTCTGTACACATGTGGAGGACACTTTGGTTCATGTGCTGGACTGTGGAACCCACATCCAAGAAGCGTCTGATTCGCATTGCCTTGGAGCAACAACGTCTCTTGGGATCTTTTATTAATACTGTTGTTAAAGATGCTACTACTCCCGAATGGAGGGACATTTGTTAACCTTTGCAGACACTTGTACTGCATCCATCTCAGAGCCCTGGGTGCAGGGGTTGGTATCCATCGGCTATATAACTGGAACAGGTGCAAGCTCTACCAAACAATGTGGCTTTGATTGTTCAGACATTACAGTGGTTCACATAGATTCTGAACATATATCAATCATTTGTGAAACCAACTCTTCATTTTAAATAAGTATGTCTACTCCTGCACGTAGCACTGGCCATGGTGTTTCTTCCACAGCAGAAACTTCAGGCTCTCTGATCTAAAATCCAAGCTCTCCAGTCCATGAGTTGTCCAACTCTGTGCTTTTGCATGAGAGTGTTGGTGGCTCACGAATCTAGCTCTGGTATTGGGGAAGTCCTTCCTTTTCACTTTTGGAAGATCCTCACAACAGATGAGAGTGTCTTAGACTGAGGAGTTGTCCTGGGCGCTTTGTTGGTCTTATTTGGAGTGCCTTCAGTTGAACACCACCACAGTAGTGGTGGACAGCAACCATCAGAGAGCAACCAAAAGTCTCTGCATGGCAAGTGAGGTAGATCATATCCTGTCTTGGGCAGAACTTCACGTTCTGGCCTTGTCCATAGCGTATATCTCAGGCACAGTTAGCAGGCAGACTTCCTCAACCAAAAGTGCCTGGACCCGGGGGAGTTGTCCCTAACCCGTGTAGCAAGGGCAAACACAGTTGTGGACGATTTGTCCCTGGACCCGGGGGAGTTGTCCCTAACCCGTGTAGCAAGTGCAAACACCAGCTGTGGACGATTTGGCTTTCAAGTTTACTTACAAACTCAATAGGGTACAGAAATCCTCTGACGGAACCATCAGATGCTCTGGTAGCTCCGTGGGATCAGTACACCCTGTTCTATGCCTTAATTGAAATGTGTTCCTCAGTTTCTCCACATGAGTGAAATGAAGGGCATTCTGATAAACCTCATTGCTTCAGACTGGCATCGGCAGAGGTGGTACGCTGACCTGGTAAGACCCCTGGCAGATATTCCGTGGGCTCTTCCAGATTGTCAGATATTCTGTCTCAAGAACTGATTGACCATCCTGCTTTCATGGTCGCTGGCTTTAATGGTTTGGCTGATGTATGGCACAGGTTTTGAAAGACATGTATTTTTGAGTTTTTGATTCCCAAAATTCTGAATATTTGTGAACATGCCTCATGGATGGGAAGATTCTCTGAATGGTTTCTTGACCCCGGTAGGATTGCTGCAGTAATTTAAGTGTTCCTTAAGTGATGTCTCTATTTGGTAAACCTGGTGGCAACCTTTACTAACTAAATTGAAGCAATGTTGCTTCCGAGTAAAAGAGAGGATGATTCAGACCTCTCACATGTATTGCTTATTGCAAAGTCCTTTGTTTAACCATTGTATTTTAATGTTTTTATGAAGGCATGCTGTCATGAGAAAAACATGGATGCTACCATCCATGCTGATTTCTCCTTCAGGAAATGCTGATAGTTTGGCTGTCATTTTGAATTCTTTTTGCTTTTGCGCTTTGAGTCCCTGACCCAGGAAAAAGTGTGCAAATGAGGACTAAGTTTACTCTAACTTTCCTAATCTTCATTCTGAGTCAGCGACTAAAACTATTGAAGCTAGTGGATCAGCCTAACAGCCTGGCACCCAGCATTTTCATAGGGATGTCCGTAATGGAAGTACCTTTTATTTCTCTCAACAATTTCATTTTAAAACGTTTTCATTTTTTAATGAAACTA